GTAGAATAAGCTTCTGATAATCAAATAATAATTTTTTCTGTTATTTATTAGTGCAATATTATAATACATCTATCTGCCACTTCTTATATTATTGAGAAGCTGATCGATCCTGCCAATTTGAAGTTAGAGTGATGTTTTCAGTATCTTATTTCTACGATTCTCAAATGAAATAGCTATCAGTATCCAGCCTGATTGAAGTCAAAGTATATATTGAAAAAAATAAATAAATTCCGTAGTTTACTTGTACCAAGGAAGTTTTTGTGCCAGGTAAAACAGGTTGATATAAAAAATCAAAGTAAAAAATGTTACCAGCTTTCCTTTAGGAAAGATAACAAAATAAAGTCTAAAGTACTAGCCCTCAAGGAATACCTTAGATGATTTATTTTAAATAGATATATATGAATAAGTTATATAATTAATAAATCGAATAAATAAATGTGTATGGGTATTAGATAAGTTGTGCATTATTAATTTGACGCATTTCTTCTCTAACTGCCCATAATAATTGGTAATGCTCAGCTAATTGCTTGGCCGTCATACCATCTGGTCGGTACATAAATTCAATCTATTTTCTTTGTATAGTTATACAAGCTTGAATTTTCTTACCAATTTCTCTGGCATGTTCGGCCTTTTTAATAGCATTCTGCATCCACAATCCATATCGATGTAATGCATACTTACTGTCATAATCATATCTGGAATTAGATTCTTGTTTAATTTTCAAATATTCTTCATAATTTACACCACAGTATTTATTACCGGTACATGAAAATTTCCAATGTCTTTCCATTCCTATATGGTTATAATTTCCTATATTCTTCTTTCTTTGTCCATTATATACTAACTGATCACAAGAGAAACATATTGCTATTCCGATTACAGGAGCATATGAACCACTATTCGGCAATCGTATTAATCTCCTAGCTTCGAGGTATTTTTTACTTTCAATAGGTAATAGATCATTCTCTCTGAAATATGTAATACGTTCCCAAATCCGTTTCATCCACTCACTGGTGTTTCATTATCACGAATTTGTGGCATATTACAATATTCAATCCATTCAGCATCCGTACAATCAGTTCCACGAGTGTTTATGCCAACCATTTTACGACTTATTATAGTGTGTTTTAGAGATTATACGATTTATATCCTATTTAGGAATTTAGACCTATTGGATTTAATAACTTTATCCTCTAGAATAATGTGATTCAATTTTAATGAGATTAGATTCTCGAGTTATCTCCCAGATCTGGCTCAAAATAATTTGTAAAAATATTTTACACTTAGCTTTATTCTGAGAAAGTGGCAGTCGGGATAACATTTACGAGAGCAAAAATTTGTGGTTCTGGTTATTTGTTCATAATAAGTGAAATCTCATTCGTTCTTTTCAACCCCAATTCTATTTTGATAACAATACTCACCTTCATATGTTCAATACTGGGAAAAATTTCACTTGCACCGTTCCTCGTATTCGAGTTGTACCCCATATAAAAAATTAAGAAATAATATTAAATTATATTTTATGCGATCCAGCTAAATCATCCAATTGATTATTTTTGCGGACTGAACAAACCACCCAAGTCAAAGTACTGAGCCACCAGAAATGATGATTATGCCCCGCCTTCTCATGATAAATCACTCGAAGCCAGAAAAATATAAGAAAAAAAGCTGATAGCATGTACTACTTCACCGACAATGAGCAAACGAAGTGCAGTGAATTGGCGGGTCAGAGCCCTATCGTCAAGAGGTGAAGACTCAAGCGAAATTTTTTGCATAACTATGCATACCCGTAAGCAAGTAACCTGGGTGGCTAATCTATCAACACAAAAGCGATTCAACACAAATTAACAAATTTGAAATGCAATACATACCCGGTTCAGATCGAATTTAACTTTACTCATCTATGGTAGTATAGGAACATTGGTAAGGTATTGCAGAGCAATGAGACAAGTCTCTTAGATTTTGGTTATATATTTTTTTTTCTGGTGGATACATTCAATCACTCTCTGTGGTGTGGTTCAGTTGTTTAGGAAGTCTGCGTCACCTTCCCCCTAATACACGCCCCACATTGAGGATTACGATCACGCCCAGGATAAAGGAAAATGTTATGTGTTTCAAGGTGGATACATTCAAACTATTTCTTATCTCGTAGCTCAGTGGACTAAACCGCGGGAAGCTCGTTCGGTCTTCCTCTCCTTACTACGTAGACAATTATAGTGACGATCACGCCCTCTAAAATTGGGTTTATAAGCAGGAAAAAAAATAAATTGTGGGGAGGTAACAGTCGGATCCCGGGCCTGCTTTGAAAAGCAATGACTGCACCTGAGAAGATTATACATAGTCAGAGGCCCTATCGCTCAATAGAGACGAAATTTTTTGCATGACTATTGGAAGAAGAAGAAGAAGTAAATTGCAGGGAGGTAATAGTCGGATCCTGGGCCTGCCTCGAAAGGCTATAACTTCATCTGAGAAGACTATATATTAAAGGTACGGTTAGGTTGTGTATTTTCATGGACCAGACAAATCACCTTCGTTAAAGCACAGGACTATCATGGCTCTGTTGAATTCCACGAACCCATGCAAATAACTTGAGCGACCGTCTTATCAACATGAAGGCAATCTAGTGAAAAAAATGGAATATCGGTAAAAAATTTTGGTTATAGAATGAAAAAAAGATTTATATACGGAGATACTATTGCCTTATCTGCTATATATAATAATTAATCCAGGTCATCCATATTGCTACGTGGTTTACATAAAATTGTTAGCCTCATATTTGTTTTTAAGGGGCAGATTATTTAATAATCCATAAATATTTATATACCCCAGTCGTATATCAGAAATATTTTTTTCTAATTTTACACGATGAATAAAGCGCATGTTAGATGTTCAATCAACACGCATCACGATTTTTGAGACTGAAATTTTGATATAATTAGCACTACAAATTTAGAATAAGCGTCATAATATCGATATATACTGGGCTGTGAAATACTTGTAAATACATTGTGCGCTATTTTAATGCAACCACGTTCTATCAATTGCTTTTTTCGGAACAGAACTTTGTACTGACCCTTTTATTATAAATTACGGCTTATTTTATTAGTTCAGTATATACTGTACTAATCCGACATGAATAATAATTAAACACGAATCAACTAATATTTTTTATTTGGCGTCTTAACATAGCACGATAATTTCTACAGTACTAAATTCGACACCACAATTATTAGACACGGCAATTCAATCAACAATCGCACGTTTTCTATATTTGGGATTATTTGTTTGGTTATACGGGGTCAGGGCCGATGATTTTCTGTTTTGGTTAAGACCAAATTCTGTTTTCGGTTAAGAAAAATTCTGTGATGTCATGTGCTGTTTTTTTTAATGTATTCTATGAAATTCTGTGATGATAAAGTTAATTTTTGCGTAATTCTGTGGTAATTTAATTGGATTCTGTGATTTGATGCGATATGCAAATTCCGTAACTTCCCGACAAACATGTTCGTAATTTACATTTGTCTTCATTTTCAGGATTTCCCGGTGCCCAATCTGAATTTATGGTCAAATCCTGCGATATTATAGAATTCTGTGATGTTCTGCAATACTTCTTTAGATTTTTGTGGTATTCTGCGATGACTAAAGGTGATTTCTGTGGTTAGCTGTTTTTAAGGAAAATTCTGCTGTTTTCTGTGATCGCAGTAAATCATCGGCCCTGTACGGGGTACGGTAATAATTTTACACGCTATATAGCCCGATTTACAAATTTAGAATAAGCGCTATGCACTTCCCTATTTATGCTATTATAACAAAACATGTTGATCAAACATCTAGCATCACATTTTTTTACCAAAGCACGAAAAAAGTAAAGTACGTATTGGTCATACTATCATATGACTTAACGGTCCCGCGGGTCCGCACGCATAATTTACAAATTCCATATCCCGACGGCTTCCAGAGGCCGTCGGAGTATAAACTGATTTTAATATTTTTATATATATTTTTATGATAATGATAGAGATCACTTGATGTCAGTTCGAATGAGCAATAAAACCTTGACCGGCTTTAATAATCAATGGCCTGCATTAAGACCCGAAGGGGAATCAGAGATTCGAGGCTCTGCCTCATCATTGCTTCGCAATAATTTTGTGCGGTGTTACCTTAATGCAGAATTACTTTCCCACGTCGATTTTATCCTAACGAATAACATAAAAAGAAACATTTTCTTATTATACAATATATGACCCCACGATAAGAAAAAGCGTAAATGGGACTTAAAAGGGCTATAAGTGGGAAGAGTATAACCTTCTTAATCAGTAATTTTATCGAAATTCATATGTTACTAGGACTTCGAATCTTCGCCATCTCCCGAGATCGTTAGATCTAAACCCACTTTAAACGATTGCCAAATCTAAGGGGGTTAATTTTACCTAAAAAAACTACAGAATAGATTCAGTGTTTGGAAGTTATGACCGAGCGGACTTGCTTTACTAAGTGGGATCCAGCATTGTGTTAGAGTAACGCAATTACTAATCATGTAATTTCTCTTTTAACGGTTTTTTTTAGATCTAGCGAATGGACGATATAAAAATAAGCAAGTTCCCGTCCATAAGATAAGTCAGCAATAACATTATTTTTTGCTCATATATATTTTTACTTGATTTACCTGCCCGTAATTTATTTTTAAAGTAATTTTGCTATTTCAT